TGGTCATTACTAAGTTAATGTGAACTCTGAGGGAGGTTTTCATTCTCTCTTACCTGGAGCCAGGCCTCCCTATCACTTCCTAGCTTTCCAGCTCCCCTCGATATACTGTCTTTCTCCATCAGGGTATAAATTCCTTGATGGAAAGGTCCTTTTTCATTGTTTGTATATCTCACACTTAGCAAAATACCTGTTGTTGTTGTCGCTTAGTTGTTTTCAGTCATGTCTGACTCTTTGTGACCCTATTGGGGTTTTCTTGGCAGAGATAGTTTGCCATTTCCTTCTGCAGCTCATTTTACAGATGAGGAAACTGAGGTAAATAGGGTGAAGTGACTTGCCCAAGGTCACACAGCTAGTAAGTGATGGAGTCTAGATTTGAGCTCAGGTCTTCCTGACTCCAGACCTGGCACTCTGTGCACTATGGCGCCCCCTAGCGCCTCAGCAAAGTACCCTAGCACATAGCAAGTGCTTCATAAGTGCTTTATCATTCATTCATTCATTCATTCATTCATTCATTCATTCATTCTCTTCCCAGGAACAATAACAAAGTTGATTCTATTATGACTCCAGAATTGGAAAGGTAGGGGGCAGAAGTATGGGTCCAATATGGCAACACATCAGCTAGCGAAATGTCAGAGGGGTAAAAGAGAACGGGCATGAACCGAATTATGGTCAGAACCAGGAAACTTGGGAAAAAGTGAGCCCCTTATCTTGTGCTTTTTGGTGGGGGGGAAAGCTGTGATCATAGCTCTTCTGACATATACCCCAGCTTGGGGGGTAATGGATGTCAAAGAATTCTGGAAATCGATTAGGTGGGATCCCATAGGCTAAATTTTATAGGCCTTCAAAGAAGTCAGTCCAGGAGAGACTGGAAGTGTTTAAGGTGAAAACTGTGAAGACTAGAGAAATTCTCTGTAGGTCAGCCCCTCCTCCTTAACAATCTCTGCTTTCCAAGTTTTCAGGACACCACTTTCTCCTGATTCTCCTCCTACCTATATGACCTTTCCTTCTCTGTCTCTTTTGCTGGAACCTCCTCCAGATCAAACCATAGGTGTCCCCCAGGGTTCTGACCTGGGCCCTCTTCTCTTCCCCCTCTATACTACTTCACTTGGGGATCTCATCAGCTCCCATGGATTTAATTACCATCTCTGTGCTGATGATTCTCAAATCTACCTTTCCAGAGTTCAAATCCAGCCTCAGACACTTACTAGCTATGTGGCCCTGGACAAGTCACTTAACCCTGTTTGTCTCAGTTTCCTCATCTGTAAAATGAGCTGCAGAAAGAAATGGCAAGTCATTCTAGTATCTTTGCCAAGAAAACCCTAAATGGGGTCAAGAAGAGCTGGACGTGATTGAACAACAACAGTTCCCTTCTGAGTTGCACACAACAGGTGTTGTTGAATCAAATAGGAAAAATAGCTTGGTTTTTATATATTTGTTTGCATGTTGTCTCCCTCATTAGATTGTAGACTCCTTGAGGGCAGGGACTGTCTTTAGCTCTTTTTTGTATCCCCAGAGCTTAGCCTAGTGCTGGCATATACTGGGTGCTTAGTAAATGTTTATTGATTGATTGTTATCTGTACCTCTGGACTACTTACTAGCCCATCTTAGACTTAACAAAGACATTTACTAAAAAAATTAAAAATAGTAGTTATGAAATATTCCTCTTTCTCTCCCTCTCACTGCCAACCATTTATTTACCCTTAAGTACACGGGAATCTGTGTGTGTGTGTCAGGGAGAAGTTGGGCACAAACCTAAGGTATGGTCATATGGTCACAATGAGGCCGATATTTAGGGAGCACATAGAGACAATGTGACTTAGGATTCTGGAATTGCAAGGTGTTGATGTCCTTTCTTTCTCTACAGAGCCCTTATGAAGTTGTCTACCAGGCGTGGCTCAGATGATAGATCAGATGCTCAGCTCCACTTATTCCTTACTGGGCATGGTGTCCAGCTAAGGCAGGACAGATCCATCTGCTGGTGGACTGGGCAAGTTATTAGCCTGCTGAAATCCTCTCCACCTGACATAGCTGCTGTAGGGTTGTTCCAGGCAGATCATTAGTCCATTAGGGTGGCTCCTCACTAAGTATGGGCAGGCTTGGTCCAGAAGCTTACTCAGCCGTGACAGTGGCTCTTCACAGGGGGTTGCTGATTCTCTGGGCTCACTCTTCGATGGACAACTGTAGTTTTCAACATCTACAATTTCTGTCTTGCATGGGTGTTACTGTGATTATTTTTTTTTTCTGTTGAACTGTTATAATGCTCTTTTCAGGTAATGTGTTATTGTGCTCTTTCTAAAAAGGCAGAGACTCTTATCCTAACTAAGGCTGGCAGAATTCTGTCCTCATTGACTCCCTCAAAGCCGCGGCTTTCTGGTTTGTCACCTCCCAGAAGGATGTGGGAAGAGGTCTATGCTCTCTTATTAGACAATTCTTCCTGGTACAAGCTGGGTTCCCTCAGTGAAGGATCTCACTCTTACTTATGGCAATCATCTAGTTGCATTCCCCAGATTCCTGTTGCAGTCACAAATATGTGACTGGGAACAGAGGTAAGGAGTGAGTCTGTGTTCTGCATATTCATTTTCTTTGCTGGTCTTTTCATTTACAATTGAGTATTCAAAGCCTCAAGGCACTAACCTGGGTCCCCCCTTCCTCCTTTCCCCAAATGCCCACTCTAGGTGGCTCTTGAACTGAATCTTGAAATAGATCAGGGATTCTGAGATATGGAAGTTAAGGAGGGGGAGCATTCTCCATATGGGAGACAGATAGTACAAAGGCATGTGGAGGAGAGATTGAGGGTTGTATGTGAGGAATAATAAATAGGCTAGTGTGATTGGATTGTTGAATGTGGAGGTGAGCCATGTATAAGAAGACTGAAGAAATAGAAAGGGAAGAAGTTGTGAACAGCTTTAAGTGTCAGAGGACAATTATAAATGGAGCAATGTATATTTGATGCTAGAAGCAATAAGTAGCCTCTGGGGTTTATTGAGTTGGGGATGAGGATGGGTGACTTTAGAGGAAAACAACTTTGGTGGCTGTGTGGAGGCAAAATTGGAGTAGGGAGAGATTCAAGGCAGGAAGATCAAGTAGGAGGCAATTGTAAAAGTCCAGGAAAGACTAGATTAGGTCCTGAACTAATGTAGTGGCTGGGGCAGTGGAAAAGATGGGATATATTTGAAAGATGTTATGGAGATAGAAATGACAAGATTTTGCAACAAATTGTGGGGTGATTGAGAAATTAAGGATGATAAAAACTAGACCCAAAGAGTGTTGATTAAAAGATCAATGTCAACTTGCAGGTAAGTCTCTAGTAGAGTTCCCCAAAGCTCTGTTCTAGTCAACATTTTTACTAATAACTTGAATGAAGACAGAAATGGCATGCTTTTTAAATAACTTATAGTATAAAGCTGGAAGAATAGCTAATGCTTTGGATGACTGAAGGGAGATGCAGAAAGAACTTGATTAGCTAAAACAGTGAGCTGAAACTATATAATTAAACTGTGATTTCTTCAGTGTGAGTATTCCTTTCAGCAATTGAAATAACTTAATAGATAAATCTTAGATAGTTGCCTGATGCCCAGAGAAGTTAAATGCTTTTTATTTATTTATTTGTTTAGGCAATTGGGGTTAAGTGACTTGCCCAGGGTCACACAGCTAGTAAGTGTCAAGTGTTTGGTCTGAGGCCGGATTTGAACTCCTGACTTCAGGGCCAGTGCTCTATCTACTGAGCCCTCTAGCTGCCACCTTTTTAAAAATTAATTAATTAATCAATCAATTAATTAATTAATTTTACTAAATGATTTGCTCATGGTAAAATTACCCAATTACTCTAGCTAGTAGTTGTCAAGGGTCTTATTTGGATCCATCTGGACAGGTGGTTAGTACTCCAATGAGGCAGCTAGGTGGCATAATGGATAGAGTGTTGGACCTCGAGTCACGAAGACCTGAGTTAAAATTCGACCAATACAAAAGTCTTATCTGATAATGTAAGTAGTATTTGGGACCTGTAATCCCCACCTCTCCACTGAGAGAAGGGAGGTGTATTTCATCATTTATCTCTTGGAACTGGTATTTATCATTCTCTTTAATCTGAATCCAGCTGCTTTTTGATGTAGTTTTCATTTATATTACAGCATTCATTGTATATATGGATGTCTTGATTCTACTTTCTTTGTTCTGTATCAGTTCATACAAATTTTCTCAGGCTTCTCTAAATATTTCACATTCATTGTTCCAGAGTCCAGAGAGGTAAGATGATTTGTCCAAAGAGTCAGACATGACTGAAATGATTGGACAATGATTGCTAAAAAGTGAGTTCAAATCTGGCCTCAGACACTTACTAGTTGTATGACCCTGGGCCAGTCACTTAACCCTGTTTGGCCTCAGTTTCCTCATCTGTCAGATGAGCTGGAGAAGGAAGTGGCAAACCACTCCAGTATCTTTGCCAAGAAAACCCCAAATGAGGTTACAAAAAATTAGACATGACTGAAAGGACTGAACGATTGCTAAAAAATCAAGGAAAACTCTGATAGAAAAATGGAGCAGAAACACTTTCCTTTCCCCACTCATCTATATTGTGCCATCCTCCATTTTTCAGACAATTATATTTTTTAAAAAACTCCTTTAAACCAGACTCATTTATATGTCTATCCTCCCTCCCCACCCCTTTCCCCAGTCTCCTCTCTTCTCCTCTCCTCTCCTCTCCTTTCTTCCTCCTCCTCCTTCTCTGTCTGTCTCTCTGTCTCTGTCTCTCTGTCTCTGTCTTTGTTTCTCTGTCTCTGTCTTTGTCTTTCTGTGTCTCTGTCTCTCTGTCTGTCTCTGTCTCTCTGTCTGTCTCTGTCTCTCTGTCTGTGTCTCTCTCTCTCCCTCCCCCCCCCTCTCCTTTCACCTCCTCCCTCTCCCCTCTTTCCACTCTCGCTTTTTTGGATAGTTCCAGAAACATGTCCATATATGGCCTACATGTCAAGGATCACAAATGATGTTGTAACATGAGGGCAATGCTGTGCCATTTAGCTACAGGATACTTTATGAAGAAAAGTTCAACAAATTAATATAACTGAGGGAGACTGAAAGATGGATAAAAGCTTCTGTAGGGTAATCTTCAGACAGGAAATCTGAGATTCATAACAACTTATATTTTGGCTTGTCATCACTGGTCATGCGGTGGTCCCGAAATAAACTCAGCTTGAAAGAGGAGTGTTTCAAAGCTGCGCTGTAATACATCAAGACACTCGGGGAAAGGAGAGAGATGAAAAATTAGGGTTTGGGGGGGGAAGAAGAAGGGGAAGGAAAGGAATGAGTATCTGAAGATATAATCAAGGAAGTCATTCTTTTTGGGGGCATTGTTCTCTTGTTTCAGAACCTAACAGGTAATGTATGTTTTCAGCTTTCTTTTCTAGAACTTGCAAAAGAGACTGTTTTGCTAGTTGCCAAAGCCTGAGCTGTTAGTGGTAAAGGGTGGGTGGTGGAAATATTTACTCTGAACTTCTTGCAAATCAAACCAGTTATCTTTTTTTTTTATTTCTGTCTCCCTTCTCCCCTCCCTCCTTCCTTCATGTCTTCAGTCCTAAAGCCTGGTGCATGATTTAAATCTAATTTTGGGGAAAGTGGACAGAAAAAATGTTAAATGTAGTTACATGGAAGCTTTTCTCAGACTCTCGCTTAAGCGATCAGCTTCTAAATGTGAAGAAGCAGGAGTTAACTGTGATGCTGTTGCTGACTGTATGTGCCTGCAGGTGTAGTAGACAGGGCAGAGAGGACTCTAAGGATTTCTATTCATTGAGGATGAAGGTTTGTTTATATAAATGTTGTCCATAGAGAGAGACAGTGTGGCAATTACAGATAGAATGTGGACTTTGGAGTCAGGAAGATTTGAATTCAAGCCCTGCCACTGACACAAACTAGCTGTGTGACTCTGGGCAAATGACTTAACTTTTCAGTATCCCAGTCAACTCTCCAGGGTACCAATGTGTTGCTTATATGCATCAGCAGAGGAAACTTCCACATCGGGAGTTCTCCAAATCAGTGAAATCACACACACAGACACACAACAGACACACACACACACACACACACAGAGACAGACAGACACACACACACATAACACACAGCTCAAACAACGCTTTCTGTGATTATAGTAAAGAGTGCTTGAGGAGTTAGCTGTCATTAAAACCTAGTTAGAACTTCAAGTGCTGTATGGTCCTACCTGGGTGAAAAAAGTTACACATAGACCTCTAAACCTGGGCTAGATGATATGGTCAAAACTACTAATTTTGTAGGCTAGGAAACTGAGTACTGGAATAAAGAAGTGACTTGTCTAAGGCTGCACACAGCAGGTTAGGGGCAGAGCTGGCACTAGTTACCAGGGATTCCTGATTTGCAGTACTTTGGCTTTTATTTTTTATCTTTTTGATATTGTTAAAAAGTCACATGGATTTAAGTTAGCAATTAAATTTATGAGCACCTTCTGTTATGGGGAAAATGACTACAGCTCTATGGCTGTGTAACCTTTCAAATCAGTGACTTGCTGAAGAATCACAACTTGACAGTATTATTAGATGTTGCAAATGTACTTCCAGAACAGTTGGCTGAGTCTGGACAGCTGGGGCAGGAGTGGAACTATTTACTTGCAGGAGGTGGGGGAGGGAGAGGGTCTCCACTAGAAACCTCTTGCTTCTTCCTTGAACACTGAGCCGTGACTCTTCCAGCTTGCATCATCTGTCATTGCACCAGGAGTCTGAACCACAGGCCCCCTGCTTGATTATCCTGCCCAAATAGGTGCCCAGAAATGACTTCTCCAGAAGCATATTGCTATGAAAATTCATCGACTAGGCCTATATTTTAATGTCAGGAAGATTTGATATTTGTTGTAAGGAATTTGCTTTTTCTTTTCTTTTTTCTCAATGGGGTGGGGGTGTCAGAGGGAGAGCAGATAGATTTCTGTTAATTAAAAAAAATACATTTTAATTTTTAAAAGTGTAAAGAAGTAGGTCACTAGTAGAAAGCAGGAACATTTTTTTCTTCACGTGAAATGTGCTGAAAGTGACCAGAAACCATAAGGCAGAAGTAGAATGCCTATGCTTTGGGGTTGGGAGCAGGTGTTGGGAAGGGATAATATTACAATGGTAAGAGAACAGGAATTAAAGTCAGAGAACCTGGGTTTGAGTCACGAACCTGCTACTTATTATCTCTCTGACCCTGGCCAAATCACCTCACTGGGTGTATTTCCTCATCTGTTTAATGAGGATGAATTAGATCAGGGATCTCTGAACCTGTTTTAAAAAATATTTTGATAACTTTATTTCAGTATAATCAATGTCCTTTGTAATCCAGTGTATTTTGTTTTATGCATTTAAAATATCCTGAGAAGGGGCCCATAGACTTCACCGGATTGCCAAAGAGGTTCATGACACAGAAAAGGTTAAGAACCCCTGGACGGAAGAATTTCTAGGTCCTATCCAACTTTAAATCCTGTGGTCCTGCAGCCAATGAAAATGCTTAGCTGATTAGTCTCTGTGTAGGGATTCTAAATCTGGGTGCTTGCGTTTTTTATGGCTGGAGGTCAGAGGAGAGACACAGCTGCCAGGTCCTTCCCACACTTGTCTACTTCTGGGTGTCCCTATGACCCTTGTGCATACCTCACCTCCTGGACACACAGAGTTAATTCCCTACATGTGTCTTTCGGGTACACACTGCCAGATCACCGTGCTCGGGTTGGGGGGGTCAACAGCTGTTTGAGTGAATTCCTGGGGAGTTGAGGAATCTATACCAAAATTGGGAAAAGCCAACTTTGTGTTTTAGCCCTGTAACCTCCTGAGCTCTTTGCAATAAGAGCAAATGCTTAACTTTATGGGAAGCTCACGACCCAAAACTGGGTCAAGTGGCCCACTGATGCCTTGAGCTTTCCATGGAGATTTTAGACCAAAGCATGCTTATTGACATTTGTCCTGAAATGCAGGATGTCAGACAAGGAAGTGTTAACTAGGACATGAGCCCTGCCCCAAGCCAGGGGGATAGAGCAGATGACCTCTTAGAGACCAGGGTGAATGATGATGAATGGATCCTCAAGGTTTAGAAGAAACATTTTAATCAATAATAACGACAAAAACAAGTTTTCATTTTTATATGACTTAATAGCTACAACGGGAGGCAACATGTTGTAGTGCTGTCTAGTATACTAGGCTTTGGAGTTGGGAAGATGTGAATTTGAATCCTGTCTGAGACACATACCGATTATGAACCTTAGGCAGTCATTTAAACTCCTCTCAGCCTCAGTTTCTCTCATCTGTAAACCACAGATAATAATAGCAACTATTGTGAGGTTGTGAGGATCATATAAAGGAATACATATGTGAAGTGCTATTTAAATGTTAACTTGTTATGAATGTACTTTCATGATCATTTTCTAGTGGGATGTTTATAACAACCCCGTGAGGTGGCAAGGTGAGGAGGAGGAAACTGAAGCTTTGGTGGGATTGAGCAACTTGACCAAGATATCTAAATTATTTTTTTATTTCTTCAGGTTATATAGATTTGGGATTTGTGCACAAAGGATTTATCACACTTTTGTGGTATCAAGTTTTCTATAAAATGAATGAAACTGTCTGTCCTGTTCTCATGCTTTTTCCTTTTCTTGACACCCATTTTCTCCCTTTTCTCTTCCTTCCTTCCTTCCTTCCTTCCTTCCTTCCTTCCTTCCTTCTTCCTTCCTTCCTTCCTTCCTTCCTTCCTTCCTTCCTTCCTTCCTTCCTTCCTTCCTTCCTTCCTTCCTCCCTTCCTTCCTTCCTCCCTTCCTTCCTTCCTCCCTTCCTTCCTTCCTTTGTTTTGGTGGGGGTGGAGATGGTGGGGCTCTTCTCTCTCCTTTCTGTAATTCTCCTTATTCCTTTCTTCTTTTTCCTTATCCCCCTCTAGTCTCTTCATCATTCTCCCCTGATTTGACCTTCCAAATATCCTTTCTTTATGGACCACTCACTTCCCTTCAAATATCTTTTCTTAATGACTTACAATCTTATTCCCTCACACAATTGACCTACTCACTCACCTTCCCTCTCCCCACAGGTTAAATCAATTACTTACAAATTCTTTCCTCAATCTTTCCCAGTCTTTCCTCAAAGCCTCCCCTGTTTCAACAACAGACATTTAATTCATGCCTACTATGTGTAAGGTACTGCTCTAAGTGCCAGGCTGCCTACTCAGGTGATACAACTGTAGCCATAGAAGTCAACACAAGAGAATTTGAAGGGGAAAAGAGAATTAACTGGTGGGAAAGATCTGGAAAGATTTTCCATCGGACATGCAACCGGAGCTGAGCCTTGAAGGAAGCTAGACATTCTAAGCTGCAGAGGTGAGGAGGAACAGACATTGCAGACATAGGGGACTGCCTGTGCTAAGTCACGGAGATAGGAGATAGGGCCATTTTGGCCCCAGGCATGTGAAAGTAAGTAATGTAAAGTATGTCTGGAAAGTTAGGTTGGAGACAGCATGTGAAGGACTTTAAAGGCCAAGCAGAGGAGTCAGTATTTTAGTCAGGCATCTAGGAACAACTGAAGATTTTTGAGCGGTGGAGTAATATGGTAAGACCTGTGCATTAGGAAGATTATTTTGGTGGCTCTGTGGAGCCCAGAAACATGGCGTCCAATTAGGAGGTTATTGCAACAGCCCAGGAGAAAGGAGATTAAGGCCTAGCTAGTTTTGTAACTGTGAAAGTAGCAAGGAAGGGATGGATATAAGAGAGGTTCACTGGCTAGCTAGATGGCAGAGAGAGCTACAGATCTTAAGACACAATTATATTCTAGTCATGGGACATAGCCAATGAAAAGACAGGGAAACAGAGACAATGTGTCAGGTATGAGGAATGGTAAGAAGGCCAGTTTGACTGGACCATAGAATTTGTGAAAAGGAGTTATATGTAATGAGGCTGGAAAGATAAATTGGAACCAGGTCGTCAAGAACTTTAAATGCCCAGGAGAGCAGTTTATATTTGATCCTGGAGGGAAAAGGAACCCACTGAAGTTTATTGAGTAGGGGAGTGATATGATCAGATGTTTGATCTAGGAAAATCATTTTGGCAGCTGAGTGGAGGATGGATTGGAGAGGGGAGAGACCAGAGGCAGGAAGACCAGAGGTGGAGATCAGTGGAGAGAAGGGGTCACGTGCAAAGCTGACTAATATGTGGGGCTGAGGGTAGTGCTGAGATTAGAAGGATGATTGAAAGACTAGAAGGATGGTGGTACCCTTGACAATATTAAGGAAGGTCAGAAGAGAAATGAATTTTGGGGCAAAGATAATGAGTTCTGTTTGAGGCATGTTGAGTTTGAGAAGCCGATGAGATATCTGGGGCAGCTCAGTTGCTCAGTGGATAGACTGGCTT